ATAAATGAAATAGAAACCAGGTTCTTCTCTCTTTTCTCATAGAAAGTTAAGGGACTGAAGATTCTGAGAAATATTTTATTTTTTCACATTTGGCAATGGTAAGAAAGCAAACTAATTATTAGTTGAGTGTACTAAGAGAGGCTACCAGCAAGAACCCCTCCTCCCCCAATTTTTTTTTTGTAATAGGGCCCCTCTCATTGAAGTCAGTGGGAGTTTTGCTGTTGACTTAAATCTGAGCTGAAGTGGACTAAAGTAATAATAGTGATTTCTTTCATTAGCCAGACCGAGAAACTCAAGTACATATATAAACAATAATTTAGTTCTAAGCTTTGGCTGTATGTATTTGAGTGTAGGTACCCTCAGGGTTACTAGGCTAGCTGCACTGCTGTCCCTTCTTGGGTCTTACCGAGTGCCCTGCCCCCACAGTGGCAGGCCTCAAGTCTGCCTCTCCTGCGGTGGAGTTCTGCAGTTTGCAGACTCTTAGACCAGGACCTGGGCTACAGCCTGTTGGGTGTCAACCGTGACTACTTCAGCAAGTCCAATGATGTTCGGCACCTGTAAGCATTATACTGTAGGGGCCTGTGACAGCACACATTTTCAGTGCTACAGAAACAGCTTTTCAAAACCAAGTGTAATTTATTCATTACTCAAAGGTATAAAACAGGTAGAACACAGGGTAAAACAAAAGGCGTAGTCATGTGGGCCTGTCTTTCACGTAACTCCATCCCTGGCAGGAAGAAACAGTGTATAATGCAGCAGCATGCTCCCGGTGTGTCTCAGACTGTCAGCCGTTTCACTGACACATTCTGGCCAGCCTCTTTCAGCTCATCTGTCACCGCTCCCCCCCACACACACACACCCTTTTCTATCCTCTTTTGAGGTTTTAGTCTCCTTTTGATCCCAGGCTTAGGCCAAGTCTACACTACAAAGTTTTGTTAGCATAGCTATATCAGTCGGGGGTGTGGAAGAAACCCCCTAGGCTAGCCAACATAGCTATGCCAACAAAACCACCAGTGTAGACACAGCTATGCTGACAAAAGTGCTTCTGTTGGCTGAGCTAATGTCTTTCAGGGAGGTGGTGTTACTGTCCTGACAGAAAAGCTACTGTCGTCATAAGCTGTGTCTATGCTGGATGCTCTGTTCATATAGCTTTGTTGTGTTGACAAGGCCTTAGCCTTGAGAAAAGTAAAACCTCATAGCCTGGTTGGAGTCAGCTAAGCAAGTTCTCTACCCAACTGATTGCCAAGCCTTTGTTGTGTTAACTCCTTTGAAGCTGTGTACCGGAGAGGCTCTTACCTTTCCTGTTTGGTTCTTTAACAACTTTTATACTCTATGCATTCAGGCAGGCAGTAGTACAAAACTGAACAGGGAAACAGTCTCACAGAATATTAATGAAGAATAGACATTCTCGCCATTCATCACATTCACTAAATAAAAACACAAATTTCTGCTTCAGTTTTATGGTAGATTAAAATTAACAGCATTGGAGCTTTTCCTGAACACACACTTGCATACCAATGGCTCATAAACTCTGGGAAGCCCACATTCCCTCTATCCCCTTACTATTTGACTCCTATTTCTAATAAACACGTGGTGATTATTGTATCAGTGTTGTCCTCAACCCTCCAGCTGCCTAGGGAATATCTACACAGAAGACCTCAGGTGTACGAACCCAAGCTTGCACTGTGGTGCGAAAAGTAGCGGTGTAGATATTTGGGCTTGGGATCTTGGGCCCTGGACTTCAGAGCCTGTGTTCCAGCCACAGCCCAAATGTCAACACAGTTATTTTTATTTGCCATAGCACAAACCTGAGTCTGTAGACCCTGTCTCTGAGACTTGCTGGCTCAGGGTGCTGTTTGCTGTGCAGATGTCCCTTAAAAGGGACCGTTACAACATGACTGGATATTTTTTTTTATTTTATTATTTTTTTGCCTCAGTGGAGGAGTCTGACAGAAATTAGCCAGTGTAATTTCCGGGGAAAAGTGCGGAGTGCTATTATCTCTGAGGTCACTGGAATTGCAACTTGAGTTTTGTACATTAGACTGTGTAGGAGACTAAGCTTTCCAGTGATGTGAAGTAAATCATAAAACACAAATGGTTGCAATAAAAATGATTTTTTTCATTTAAAAGAATAACTTGTTTTAAAAAATCACAATTTTTTTAATCCGAATTTCAAACAAATGTTAAACAAATGTTAATAATAGATGTGCCTGAACTGAAACTTTGAACCCAGAGCTGAACCTCTTCCTTCAATTTTGGATTCGGGGCTGGGGGACCCAAAGCCAGAGACGGTAGTCTGCAGAAATCTGGAAAAATGCTTCCTAAAATTACTCTTGGGGAATAACATGCCTTCCCCCATGCCCTCAAGTGGGACTGGGCCTGAGGAGCCACAATGAAGACATTTATAAATAGCCTGGTCTTCGATTGAATGGTGAAGTAATTCTGGGTCTTAAAAGTTTCCGAAAACTCCTTTAATCTCAGTGAGTTGCTTGTACCTAGAACTGCCTGGCCCATGCTAAGATCAAATACTGTAGTTCTCCAGGAACTTCCTTCTGTTTCAAATGAGAGGGTAGTAGAGGACTTTAAAAATCAGAGGTGTAGTGTAGCCTGTGAATACATTCCAAACACTTTGGGGATATAATGTCCCTGCACTATAAAAGTGCTATGTATTTTTGTAGAAATGAAACAATTACAGTAAAATATGCATTTTGCAAAGCACTTCAGTACCAAAATGGCACCACAGGTCTCTAAAGAATAAAGAGATTAGGTTAATTTACTGAACTAATTTGTTATGCAAAACATCCTTATCATATTCTTTACAGCTAATAGGGACCTGATTCTTCAAGATGCTGAGCACTATAAATTCCCATTAAACTCAAAGGAGTTGAGGGTGCATGGCTCCCCACAAGCCTGGGACCAGGAATAGTAATGGTTCTATCTGGGCCAACCATATTTAGAAAATAGAAGAAACTAGCACAAATGGGCGAGTTCTACTTTCTTCATAGAAATTTAAGTTACATGTTCAATTGTTACTGTAGTCAGGAAATCACCATCTGTCTTCCTAACCATGGCAACATTACAGGGGCATATTTTTCACATGGATGAAATGTTCTTGAATAATTTATCTGGCTATATTGGGCACAAACAGGCTTTTCTTCCACATCCGACATGAATGTTTTCTTCAGCTAACATTTTATTGGGAGGAAATTCCTATGCTGTATTGATGTTTGACTTTCTTTGAGTTGGTCTGATCCTATCTCAGGTTAATGTAGGGAGTAGCATAGGATCTTGCTTTAGTTTGTTTGTGTTTTGAGGAGCTTTCGTCAAAGCTTCCATCTCAAAGTTACCAGTAGCAGTTAGGCTGTCTTTCTGGTGAAATTGGAAACCATGGTAGCATTTTTCTAGAGAAATGTAATAATAACCTATTAATAATGAAGATATTAGTTGCTTATGAAGACTTAAAGGGCAAAATGAAACTTGTGATGCATGATAAAATGCTGGTGTGTGATATTAAGAGGTTCATCCTTCTCAGAGGATTTGAGTAATACGTTTTTTTAAGCTCTTAATAGAGAAACTAATTTTCCAGATATGTAGATTTGACACAAGCCATATTTGATCTGTGGGTGAGGCAGTTCTTTAGTCATTTCAAGTGGAAAAGTTTGCTGCTGTATGAAAACGTCTTTAAAAAGTTAAGGATACGCTTTTCTTCCAGGAAAAATTACTTTCACTTTAGGTGAATTAAAAGATCTACTTTTAAGTGTGTAGATATGTATAGGGAGAAGTTTACACTGATTGCAAGAGCAAAGTCAAATGTGTTTATGGGAGGGTGGAGAAAAAAATTGAACTACCATCTTACGGGTATAACTTCACCAACAGAGAGAGAGAGAGAGCACAAAATTGGAGAGAGGAACATTTCCACAGAGGTACCAAATGGCACCCATGTACCTTAATTATTCAAGAAAGTAATTCTTCTTGAAGTCAATGGGACTACTCATGTGAGGAAAGCAAGCAGGACTTATTCTATAATTAAGCTTGGCAGAACTCAATTTTTATGTTTTTTTTTAAATATAATTTTGTCAGATATTGCTTTTTTAAATTGTATCTATTTAAATTTTCACAGTTGTGGGAAATTATGGATGAGGTCAGACAATTATTTAATGACTAGATACTGAGATTCAAAAAGTTAAAGCATTAAAACTGTTAGAACACAAATTATCAACATCACATGTCAAAATATAAAAAGTAAATATCCTTAAATCAAACTTAAAGTTTTCAAGAAGCATTTGTCTGTCTTTGCCTATCTGTAAATTTCAGTAATTATCAGTGGAAATATTTTCATGGGTTTCTGTGTGTAGGGTGAAATTGACATTTACCAATAAAAATAAAAATTTTTCCAAGCCTACCTATAATGTATTAATTACATAATTACAGTAGCTTAATTGTATAAAGGCTAGAATGCTTTGTATAGTAAGTGCTGATTGAGAAACTTTTCAAAAGGAAATTATTTATTTACTATTCAGTGCCCAGTCCTGCAAACTCTCACTTATGCAAATAATCCTGCTGACTTCAGTGGGCCTACTTGTATGGGTATGGATTACTCAAGTGAGTAAAGGTTGCAGGGTTGGGTGTTCACTTTACAAACTTTTCAGGGCACAGAACATGTCTTAATTATGTTCTGTACAATGCCATGAAAATTTATGGCCCTACATAAATGTCCTACAATAAGGATGTCAGTGACACAGTAGCATTGTATCTAGGGTAAAGGCAAGTTAGAGCTCAGAAAGGATGACCATATTGATTTTATTCAGTGTAGCAAAAGCTAGTTCTATTAAATGACATTAATAATCAGACCATTTGAGAACAATCTTGTATTGCCCTGCTTCTTGCAAAGCTCTAACCTACTCAGACAGTAATGTTTCATGTAGAAAGGAATTTTTAAACAATATATAACAGATATTACACTCAGATTACATAATGCTGAATGATTTTTGTGTTAATAGGGACCTGGAAAAATTGACAGCATCAATGAATGGGTTGACTGTCACTCTCAGCTCCAGATGACTTGCAATTTAGTTCAGAAAGGTATGTATATATTCATTATAACACTAGTATGTAACCCTGATAAAGTGTATCAGGATTTAAAACTTGCCATTTTAATTCTTCCTTTCCTTGGCATCTACACTTGCAGGTGATCTATAACTTGGCCGGTGGGGGAATGTGATTTATTCTTGAACTAGTGTTGCTTTACTGCAATTAGCAGGTACAATGTCAAACATCACCTTGCAACTTTGGGCGCACAATGTGTCAACTTAGCCACAGGTCTTGGGTCTTTTGGGCAAGCAGGGTGTGCCATCATAAATCTAGATCCCAATCCTCGTGGTTTACACTAGTTACTGCATACATCAAGCTTGTCTTACAGAATCTGTTGTGAAGTCAAACTTTGACTTCTACATATGTAGTCTTGTACAACATGTTTGGAGTATAATCTTGGAGAATGATGGAGGGTCTAGCTCTTAAATGCTGCTAGGTCTGAGAATGTGCTGGTCTCAGATGGTGACATTAACTTAGGGCCAGTCTACACTAAAAAACCCACCTCCACGAGAAGTGTAGCTACCATGCTCCCAGCACTGGTGCACTGTTTACACTCGTGCTTTACAGCGCTGAAACTTGCTGCACTCAGGGGAGTGTTTTTTCACACCGCGGAGCGAGAAAGTTGCAGCGCTGTAAAGTGCCAGTGTAGACAAGCCCTTAGTCTCCCCATTGAATTTATAAAATGACCTAACTACAAGAAACAAAGGCAGCTGCATGTATTTGTGTTAGAGGGGAAAAAGGAATCCATCTTTCAGATGATTGTGTTGAGGGTCTAAAGGAGGGGAAGATGAGAATGCAGAAGGTGTCATTTAATTGGATTGCAGTAAAAATCTGATAGTATGTCCGGTCAGTCTTGTTCTCCAAATCTTATTTACTGTTTGTTATCTGCATTATGGTCCTGCCTGGGAGCCCCTGTTGTACTAGGTGCTGTACAAAACCAGAACAAAGACAGTCCCTGCGCCGAAAAGCTTACAATCTAACTAAATTTAGCCCCTCAAAAAGTTTGTTCAAGTTGGCTTGAATATGAAAACTGACTGGTGGGTTTGAAAGTTGCTGAAGGTCCATAACCAAAGGGTGGTGACAAGTGATCACTTATCAGATATCTAGTGCAATACTGCACTTGGTCATGCTGCTAGGTCTGGATTCATCTAACATTTCTTTAATAATCTGGAAGAGGGGGTAAACAAAATGTTACTGAGTATCCACTGATGATACTAACTAGGAAAGAGGTACAGATATTAGTAAAGAAAGAAATAATACAGAAGGACCTAGAGAGATTAGAAACAGGGATGAAAGTTGCAAAAAACATTTGTATTTGTATTTGTATTTATATTTATATGAGTGGATGGCAAATTAGGCATGAGTTAGTGTGGGATGTCAGCAGGAAAGTTCAGGGCAATCTTGGGCTCCTTTGAATACTGATTTAAGTGAGAGGCCAAAGAAACCCTAAACAAACAATTTTTTGAGGAGTCTTTACACAATTTATTAACTTACTACTGTCCTCTCTAAAAATTTTTAAATTTAGCAAGTAGGGGATAACAAATTAGTATTTTTGGTTTTAAAAAATTTGTTTTCTATCTCTTAGATGTCATCTGTTACTGAAAATGGAGATGCCCCTGCTGGAAAACAAAATGAGGAGAAAACATATAAAAAGGTAAATGTGACCAGTCATCTTCCTTTTGTAACAAGTATCGGAGGGGTAGCCGTGTTAGTCTGTATCCACAAAAACAACAAGGAGTCCAGTGGCACCTTAAAGACTAACAGATTTATTGGGGCATAAGCTTTCATGGGTAAAAAACCAAATTTACCCATGAAAACTTATGCCCTAATAAATCTGTTAGTCCTTAAGATGCCACCGGACTCCTCCGCTTCTTCCTTTTGTAAGATTGGATATATTGTACTAAACTGGTATAAAAGAAAACATTCTACAGCTTTGTCTTTTTTTAGTCTCTAGAATGTATTTTCTTGGACATTTCTCCATTTCTTATGTGCATGAAAGTTTAATACTTGAGCATTCCTAATGTGGAGCCTTCAAAGTAGAAGAAAACAAATCTCCCTCTCCCTCAACTTTGTAGTTGAAGTAAGTCAAACATTCATCAGAATAGGCCAAAGAAGCAAAACAAACAAGAGAAATGCCATTGTTCACTTCTGAGTCCTTTCTCTTTTGTAAAAGTATACCAAGTTCCTATACCCAGTCAGTGTGACTACTCAGTATTAACGTCTTTCTTTTTAAATACACACCTTGCTATAGCATGGGAAATTCTTGGCTCCTAGCAACAGAGATATCTCTGTTGCTAAAAACACTATTGTCCGAGAATCTAGTACAGTAAGTTCTCAAATGCTTCAAATGTTTGTACTGTGTCTCTTGACTACAAATTAACCCTCCTTATTTTTTTGCCAAAGGTGTGGTTTTTGTTTTGTATGGGTTTTAAGGTAATTTTGTTTAATAGATAACTTAATGCCTTTAATTCTTTCTTACAATAACAGCTATAGAGATTAACACAGTATTTGCAGCACAGTGCAACAGAGACTGTTGTTTAGGAGCTACATCAACATATGGTACCTTTCTTGCTGCTGCTTCCTTTCGATTTTCTGTGTGGGTAACATTAAATGAGAGTCTTAATGGCAATGATGGTACCCACAATAAGCTTTTTAAAATTAAAAATAAAATATAAATTTAATGTAGAAAAAAGTCAATATCCTTATAGTGAACAAATTCTTGGCTACTGGATTCAGTTTTCTCCTTTTGGTTACTAGCACTGTTCTGTACATCAGGGACGGTCCCTCCCTTTGTGTTTGTACAGTGCATAATACAATTGAGTTCTGGCCTGTAAGAGTTCCTGCAATACCAATAATAAATGATAATTTTTCCACGTTTTCAGTTTTGCTATAACACTGTTGGTAAAGTCCAGGAGGATTTTTAAACATTCAGTTTTAATTCTTCTTTTCCTTGGCAGCCACACTCACAGTATGTGGGTGGCTTTAAAATTCCAGACCCTTTTCTTTCCTCAGAAGCAACAGGCTGTTATATTTTTGAGGTTGGTTTATAGATGTAACTTTTTGTTGTTTGTGTCCGCATCCCTCAAGGATTGAATACTGATGGGTGTTTGAGACAGGGGTACAGATTCACTGGATTCACTGCTCCAGTAAACTAAGAATATAGTACTGCCAATGCAGAGGTACTGTAGGTAGAAAGAGAATACTTTAGTTTATGAAATTAGTACTTATTCACTTCTTCCATGAGGAGTTTAACCTCTAGTGGCCACAACTCACTTGTGTTTCTTTTGCTGTACCTATTCTGTCTAGACTCATGCCCGTAGCTTAGAAGTTCCTAATCTTTCTCTATCCCCACCCCAATCCCAAAACCAGCCACAGGTTCTTGCCACGGCCCCAATTCCACAATGCTTTGTGGCTGCCTCTTGCAGTTCTTTGCAGCTAATTTTTAATGATAGGAAATGTGCCCAGAGATTGACAGGTGTATATTCTAGAACTATTTTTTTTAAAGAAGTATACATACAATATCAGATTGATCCAGTTTTGCTGGCAACTCACATATGTTATCCTAGTGCAAAATGACACCAGTCATGACTCTAAAATCTCCAGTGGAGCAGTAGAGATAAAAGGAGGCATTGGGACATCAGCAGATTGTATTTATTTGTTTGTTTGTTTGTTTAAGGAAGAACTGAGAGCTGATTTTTAAATTGTTGCTGTCAATATGTTCTTAGCTAGGAAAAGTACAGAGATTTAGAATCTTTACATGGACTACCTAACACACTGGTTATTCTGCAGGGAATTCTTCATATTAATTTAAGGAATGCATTGTCAAAGGGTGCTTGAGGTTGTAGTTGCATAAGTTCCTGGAATTTGGAGGTCCGACTCTTCTGTTTTTGGACTGGTAGGAGTTCGTGCTTTTTCCCCTTAGTATTGTCAACAGGCCAGATTTGCTCCGGGGTGGTGACAGTTCACAGGAGTAAGTCTACCTAGAGCTAGAGTGCAGCAGTGCAAGCTACTTGCAACCCCTCTTCCATCACTGGCCCAGAGCTGGTGGCATAACTTCAAAAGTGGGCAGTCCTGGCCCAGAGATGTGCTAATTCAATGACTCTCCCGGCCGGCCATGTTTGGCTGGGCTCCTCTTGAGCCTCAGTAGGATTTTAAAACTATCATCTCCCAGAGTAACACCCCCACCCACATCACAACTATCTCTCTAACTGGAGGGCCTCTGCCCCAGTACTAACAATTTATAGTGCTTTACTAAAGTGCTGATTAAGTAAAGTACATAAGCATGTGCTTAAGTGCTTTGCTGAATCTGGACCTGAAAAGGCTTTGTAGGAGTCTAACCCAGCAGACAGACTCCTTGCAAATACATACTGTAACATTTAAAGGTTTAATAATGTTCAGATGGCAAAAATAAAACCAAACCATTAGGGCCACATTCAGTTCTGGTGCAACTCGACTGAAGTCGATGGAGTTGCACCCGCTTTACAGAAGGGCTGAATTTGGCACCTAATAATTTTGCTTTTTAAATATTTATAAGACACACACATGTGGCTTGTGCCTTTGATATTGTATTTTGCTTCTTAATAGCTTATTTCCTGTGTATTCATCTCTGAGTAATAGGCAGTGACTATAATGTTTGCAGAGGTTTAGTCATATTTATAAAATACATACAAAAAAGGAATATGATGCATGGAAAATTTCTACTTGTGATGTAAAATCCAGTGACCCATAAGATAAAAAGAAGTGGTATAAATATGAGCCTTAGTAGTATATTCCATTTTCCATGTCCAGAGAGAAATAGATTTTAATAATCTTGGTCCTTCTGTATTTTCCAATACATTTTAACTATGTGTGTGTTAAAATATATATATATATATATAAAAATTCCTTAAAGAGCAAGTAATATGAATGACTCCTGTTGACAGGTAGCTATGGAAAAGAATCACAAAATAAACGTAGAAACTAAAGTACATAGTAACTAATCACAAAATACTATAATTTTATTGTAAGTAAGAAGTGGGCAGCATTATCTCCTGTAAATGTAAACAAACTTGTTTGTCTTAGCGATTGGCTTAACAAGAAGTAAGACTAAGTGGACTTGTAGGTTCTAAAGTTTTACATTGTTTTGTTTTTGGAGTACAGTTATGTTTAAAAAACAAACAAAAAAAACTACATTTGTAAGCTGCACTTTCCCGATAGAGATTGCACTACAGAACTTGAATGAGGTGAATTGAAAAATACTATAACTTTTTACAGTGCAAATATTTGTAATAAATAGTGAGCATTGTGCACTTTGTATTCTGTATTGTAATTGAAATCAATATATTTGAAGAACATCCACAAATATTTATAATAAATTTAAATTGGTATTCTGTTTAACAGTTTGATTAAAACTGATTAATTGTGACTATTTTTAATCTTCTGATAAATCACAATTTTTTTGTTTGACAGACGTAGCTTTTCGACAGCTTGTTCATTTTGGAGTTATTCACCACAAACATTTGAATCTCTGGGACCTATTTTTAAGTTTTGGCTGAATTTATAAACTTCTTGATTGGTTTTGCTGAGTTTATAAATATTCTAGATATATCCTGAGGGTTTGTAATCTCTCTAATCAAATAATTCGGCTAAAGAAATACAGAATCTTCAAGATACACCCAACACAGTTTTTAAACTGAAGAAATTGAATAACTTTAGTTCAAGATCCCAAACTATGCAGATATGGCCAGTGGATTCTGTATGCTCTGTAAACCAGATGATATGATTTCAAGGAAACTAAAAGCTTCAGACGCACCATTTGGGGCCTGAAAGCTCTGTGAGCCAAATAGGTATGAAACATTTATCAAAAGAGCTTAGGGTATGTCCGCTCTGCGGGTAGAAGCGTGCCTCCCATCTCGGGTTGATGGACACACACAAGCTCTTCTCAAGCTAATGTGCCAAAATTCGCGGTGTGGATGTTCCAACAGGTGCAGGGGCACAGGCTAGCCATTCCAAATACTGACCCAGTGAGTCAGGTGGACTTCTACTCAGGCAGCTAACCTGCGCTACTGTCCATGCCCCAACAGCCACAGTGCTGCTGTTTGTGCTCTAGCCTGAGCAAAACTGGCAAGTCTGTCTGCCCAGGTTGGGAGACATGATCCCAGCTGCAGTGTAGACCTAACCCTCCATAGCAGAGTGCCCTAGATTAGGGGCTTGACTACACTACCGCCCAGGGTTGATCTAAGATATGTAACTTCAGCTACATGAATAGTGTAGCTGAAGTTGACATACTTAGATCTACTTACTGCGGTGTCTTCACTATACTAGACACGTTAAATCTACCCCTGCTGGATTGATTACTGCCTGCCGATCTGGCGAGTAGTGTAGACAAGCCCTCAAACTTCTGCTGGGTACCTCTCACAATCTTCTGGGTGCCTGAGGAGGTCATCACTTGCTTGAGATATCCATTAGGGTTTACAATCTCTGCTGATTGCCTCAAAGGATTCTGTAGCCTCGGCTGTGGTTCTTGTGCAAGTTGCAAAAGGCAACAGAGGAGGCCTAAGGCCCTGATTAGGGCATGGAATTTCTGCATGTTCCCAGCCGCAGAGCAGCTCCCAGATCTGCTCCCCAGTGAAGGGTAAACCGGATTTTAGGAGTCTCCTGTCTCTTGCCACTATG